GCAATCCATATCTTGTATAGTTTGTGTCTCTAAATGGGTAGTCGTGCTTTTTCATTCATCCTCCATTGTCAGTTGCTGGAATTTTTCTTTGGTCGTTTCCTTATTGTAGATTCTTGATATATTTGTTTTTTTCAACCTCTCGTTAAAAACGATTAAACTCACACTCCAAGTTTTCCATGGCTTCAATTTTCAAGTGTTCTTCATGTTTTCATGCTCGTTAACACTTGCTTGCTCTGATTTCTTGTCGGAGATTCTTCAAATATTCTGATGCGCAGAATATTCTTCGTCTTCAACCTCTCGCCAAGAGGTAGTTATGGAAGATGCTTGGACTTTCTGAGAAGTGGGCGATCACTAGATGATCGTAGTCTTGAAGTGCTTGGTCTCTAGCATGATTGCCATGCTTCTTGCTGTAGATTTTTGTCGATTTTCTTCTTTTTGTCTCTTTTTGACTTTTCCCTTGATTCTTGACTTCGGCTTCTTCTTTTAGTTGTGGCTAAGGCTTCTAGTATTTGTTCTTTGGGTGCTCTTCACTTTGCCTATCCCACCGTGGTCGCCAAAGTGGAAAACTACAAAATCACCTCTACAATGATCTTGTGAATCCTCTTTAATTTAAACTAGATCTAAACATAAAAAGGAAAGAAATACTTAGCCATGTGCTGTTGCAAAGATGTTGAAGCTGAGATTGTTGCACATCTCACAGCCTTGATCCCTAGAAGGCAGTGAGTAAGATAGGCATGGAAGGGAAGAGTAAATGTTGAGCAAGTGGAGTGTATGTTATTATGGCCAAGGATATAAAAAAACAGAAAGGGGATAGGTCTGGCATGCTATCACCAGCCTATATAACCACTACATGCCCAATCATCCAAATCAGGAATTTAGACTGGAAGTAATCCTAATCTCAATTCCTGACTCAGGAAATGCCTTTGTGCGAAAATCACAATGCAAAAATGTATGTACTTTTCTAATGTTATATGATAGGATGAAAAGAAAGTTAACTCTACCCGCCCAAACAATGGCAACTAAAATTGAGGAAGTGATTCGTGGCACATCTATGGAGTACACTCCTCGGGCTTCTATTGGTGATATGAAGATTGTTTGCTCAAAGCATTATTTTTCCTTTACTTGTGAAAATGTTGGTACAGACCTTGGAGCAAAGTTCTCACAGTCTTGATTTTGAGTACCATTCTACTCCAAGACACCGTTCTTGGACTGAGCCACCTCAAGTGGCTGATGAAGAGAGTGCATCACAATAAGTTGAAATTAGTTACCATAGCATGGAGCCAAAGTAATGGGCAATCTGATGCATGCCAGCAAAATCAAATGTAAGATATGTGGGGATGCTTTTAAGGGGCAAGTGTTGGGCTTGGATTTGTAGTGACAAATCTGCTTCTATTCTAACCCCATGTTTCTATGGGGAATGAAAGCAAGAAGGATTTTCAAGATGGTGTTGGTTGTATTGTTGCAACACCGATGCTAACTATATGAAGCAACTTGAAAACACTATAGTGACTAAATTTGATGTAGTACCTAAAGAATGGCCAGTTGCTAATGGGTTTATGCTCACCTTAGATAAGATTGAAAACTTTGAGAAATCTAGTTTCAATCTTGAGAGGAGAGTTGGAGACATAAGTGACAGAATTAGAATTATTCTTATAGAGATGCACAAGAGGCTAGCAAGAAAAGGTAAGGTAGTTAAATTTATTTGTATTGTCTTAAAGAAGAAGCAAGGTAAAACAAATTTAGCTTAAACACTTGAGTGTGAGATTCTCTCCACAAAGTACATCACTATGTTTGCAAAGGAGTACATAGTCAAAATAGAAGGTGGAGAGTATATAATTGCCATTCAAGACCTTCCTTCTTACATATGTTTAAACTTTATGAAGCGTGGGGAACATGGGAAGGCATATACTCCTTGCAAGTATATGTACTACATCTTCATCAACATCTTGCACCAAGATTCTAAAGTGAATATTTATATACACCAAGCAAGCCTTTCTATTGCTGAGTTGCAAAAAACTTTTGGAGTTAACTAGATTTTCCAACACTATCGATATTTATTCTCTATCAATAATATAAACTTATTATAATTTATATAATTAATAAAAAAAATTATTCACTTTTTATTTTATATACTTGCGAGTGTTCTTTTTGCAATACTGCCCATAATTACTCGTGTATCTCCATTTTTGTCTTTACCATCTCAAAAAATATTTTATGGTAGTCTTTCAGGTGCGTGATGTTGCAGTGTATCGCGAGAGCATATATACCATTGTACTAATCATCGCCATTGTTTCCACTAAAGGCTACAAAATATATAGGGCATTTCTTGAAAGTTACAAAATTGTAGAAACAAGTAAGCGAGCCAACTCATGATCACTATCTTCATTATCCTCTCTTTCATTCTCTTGTATGGTTTGGTTATACTATGCAATGGGATAGTTATTGCATCTTCTAGCCCTTAAACCCTGGGAAGAAAGATTGTGAGAGTGAAAATTACCAACATTAGAACCCATAAACATTTATGTGTATTTCCCTCTTTTTGAATGAGAATGTGAATGAAGATCCATAAATTCTAAATAGTATGTTATGACAAACCCCTCAAAAGTGTATTCTAGAAAAGAACTAAGCCTTTCTTTTATATGTAATAAGCTTATATCAATGGTTATCTTTTTTCCTTTCAAACGGTTATATGGCCTTACATAGAATCTTATTTCAAATTTAATAATTTTTTAATTCTGACAAACTTGACATTTACTAGTCAGAAAGCATAGAGTACAGATTTAAGGAAGTGACAAGAATACTTTTTCTAAAACATCTTATTTTATGTTCTAATAAATATCCCTATTATGGCATATAGTAAATATTTAGAATAATAATGTGTTAGAATATTAAAATTGTGTTAGAACATTAGAATATGTTAGAATATTAATAATAAATATTTAAATTATTAGAATAAGAAGTGTTCTTTAGAACATTTTTATCTAGAGAATATATAGAGAGTTATGAAATTATTAAGTTTGCCATAACCTTAATATTTTAAAGTTTTTAATGTTTGTATTAAACTACAATTGAAACTTGAGCCTAACTCATGAACTCAACTCTTCAACTCATGAGCTCAAATATGGTCCACGCTCATGTAGTGCACCCTATTTATCTCCCTTTAAACCAACTGAAAAGAGGGCAATTTACTTAATAAGAGAGCCTTTAATGGTTAAACTTCTTGGTCCTCCACATAACTCAACTGAAATGAATGTTGCTAAATTGGTTGTGTCTTTGGCTATACCTTAATCCCATGCTCCACACCTTGTCATGAAGGCAACCTATAAAGAAGTTTAGCGGAAAAGCATCAAAAAACTCTTTAATTACAACCCATATGATTGCCTCTCCCCCACACGTACCTTGATTCCCCAAGTCACAAACAAAAAGCAAGTAACTAGAAAGTGCTTTTTCATTATGATAAGCCCACTTCAAAGATGTAGTGAAGAGTATAACAACTATAGGCTAAATTCCCTCTCTTAACCACACATCTTTAATGCTATTGTATTAGTGAGACATGCTTAATACTCCACTTTATCTTTAGATCCACCTTCACCAACCATGGCATCCCAAGAATAAGATCCACACAATGGATATGAGATAAAAAATCTTCACAAGTATGGTTTTACTAACCAACTCTTCCAACCCCTCTACACAAGCATCAAAATGCTAAGCAAGGGTAGTAGCACCTTCCACTATTGTATGGCAGAATTCCTCGTGTCACTAGATTGTGCTCCTCAACAAACTTTGTTGAAACAAAGTTATTATTGCTCCCACTATCTAGTAATATCCACACTAAACCACCACAAAACATGCCTTCCAACATTAAAATTAATGCATGAGTGTCCTCAAGCTCCATCTTGTTCTACACACAATTGAGTTCACGAACAACAATCAAAAGCTTCTTCCTTAGATTGAAATGATCTTCCCCATCATCCTCATGCTATAAAGTGTACAGCTTTTGAGTATTTACTTACCATCAGTAGAAGATTATTGTGAGACACAAATCTCTAAGCCCTAAAGTGGAGCAGAAAGGGTGCCATGTGGTAGTGGCTAAAGCGGAAACCAAATGAGTGTAACACATTTGGACTAAAAGCTCCGACTTGGATATTCAAGAGTGGGAGTTAAATTCCCAACGAAGAGCTCAAGGGACGAGCATGAAGCAAGTAGTAAATGAGTCTGAAATGGAGTCCAAAATGGACTTAAAATGGAGTCAAAGATGGAGTCTGAGATGGACCCAGATGGAGTCCGAGATGGAGTCTAAGATGGACCTAAGATGGACCCGAGATGGAGTTCGAGATGGAATCTAAGATGGACCCGAGATGAACCCGAGATGGAGTCTAAGATGGACCTGAGATGGAGTCCGAGGCCGAGACTGAGGCCAAGATTGAAATGGAGTCTGAGGCCAAGACCGAGACCGAGACTAAGACCGAGACCAAGGCCGAGACCATGCAATTGAGAAAAGTAAGCAAAACATTATCCCTAAACATTATTTTGGTAGGAGCCAACAATAAATTTCCTTCTTTTCCCATAACAACAACATGCCATTGGCTAGATCTGACTGCCTTTATATTATTAAAGTTATGGACAAACATTACATTAGAACAGCTTAGCACCGAAGTTTATTCTAATTATGTAAAACCATTACTTTTATTTATTACTTTTACTAGTATTTTATTCTTACCAGATAAAATATCAAGGTTCTTCAAATGGTCCACTGAGATAAACTTGCGGGCGTTCTTCCTGTCTACTGTAACCACACATCTAGTCTGCCCATCAATCTTCTGTTTCTCCACTGGTGGATGGTTCAGTGATGCTGGATATGCAACCAACAGGCACAACATATCTCCCCTGCAAGCATATTTTGGTCTAGATCTGACTTGCAAACAGCATCATATTTTGAGCTAGATCTGACTGCCTTTATATATGGACAAACATTACATTAGAACAGCTTAGCACCGAAGTTTATTCTAATTATGTAAAACCATTACTTTTATTTATTACTTTTACTAGTATTTTATTCTTACCAGATAAAATATCAAGGTTCTTCAAATGGTCCACTGAGATAAACTTGCGGGCGTTCTTCCTGTCTACTGTAACCACACATCTAGTCTGCCCATCAATCTTCTGTTTCTCCACTGGTGGATGGTTCAGTGATGCTGGATATGCAACCAACAGGCACAACATATCTCCCCTGCAAGCATATTTTGGTGATGGTTCTGCCTTGCAAACAGCATCATAAGCATTGGACAAGATCTTCCTCAGCTTGAGTTGCACACTAACCCATATGATGGTATGGTCCTCAAACTGAATTCTGAACATGAGGTCACAACCTGCAGCATGCTCAGCCACCAAAAACATGCAACCAGGCACATCACTTGCCAAATAGTCATGGCAAGTGTAGTTTTTGTCCGCCTTATAGATCACCACCGGTGGCATTGGCGCCCCATCCAAGTAAAAGATAGAGCCTTCCATAATACGACTCTTCTTGCTCTTCAAAGCCTCCAAATTCTGTGTCAGGTCCAAATCATGAAACAGCTCAAACTGATCCAGTTTCCCCTCGTGCTTTTCCCACAAATCCTTTATCTCCAGCGGAAACAGATGCTCCCACCAGTTGCCTGTGGAAGGATTGTTCAGAGCATAAAGGGTGTCCAGCATATTTCCGGTGATCTTCTTTTCGTCCAAAAAGTAGTTGTGCATCGCCACCAGCATAAGAGGCTCGTCAACTATAACCATTTGCTTTCCGTAGACCCTTCCTATGGCAACCTCCAAAAGAGTCGAAGGTAAATCATTCTCCTGCTCATCACCATAAACTGGACACGTGAATGACCACCCAAAGTAGAAGTACTGCACGGTTACCTTGCTACCTCTGCAAGAATCCTGTAGTAGCTCTTTTGTATCCCTGGAATTCCTTGGCGAGCTGTCAGTCCTATAAAAACGTCGTTCCAAACCCATCGGATGTGCTTGCCCCTCCTAATCACCTCCTCGAGCAATGTCGCAAATGGGCGAAACCGACCCCTGAAATAGGGAAATACCTCATTCTTCACTGTCTCCTGAGCTTCAGCATCCCAAGCTGTCCCCAGAATACAACAGGAATAGGCTGCCATCTGCTTCCAATCTGTCCAGCTACCAAGACCTTCGTACACGTCATCTTTGACGAGCGGTTTTCCCACCGGGCTGTTCGATTCCAAACGGCTGAAGCTCAGAAGAAAGCCCGTTCCAGCATATACAACATGATGAATTGGAGATTCGTTGCCTGGGTAGAGCAAAGTTTCCAACACTGGCTTTGCCAATGGTCGGTCCTTGAAGGGTTCAAGATCTGTACGGAACTTTCCGGCATACAGCTTAACCAGTTCCTGTGCCTCATCAACTACCAACAGGGGTAACTGCTGTCCTCCCAGCAACTCTGAAAGGGCAATTTTGGCCTGACCCAGTAAACCTGCAATCCCCACTAACGAGCCATGGAGGACAGGCCCATATCTACCGAGAGCCAGCCGAGTGCAAGCAGCAAAAGGATCCAAGTTCAATGGCTTCCTGTCCTGTTCCAGCCTCTGGCACCCGACCTGTAACATGAGCCACTTCTCAGGAGTTATATCCTTTCCTTTGCAGTAGTGGAAGACCACTATCCTGACCAGCAGCAGCACAGTGACCATAAAGGTAGTTATAGTATAGTTCTTAACTTGATCCGCGCCCAGATACGTTGCCAGTATACCAATCACCTCCCTCAAGTCTGCAGACCCGCCATTCCCCAGGTCATTGGAAATGAAGTAAAAACCGAAGTTCTTCGCCAGGTGAGCATAGAGAGTCCTGGTTTTTCCTGCTCCACTTGTTCCTGGCACCAATAAAAACCTGCTACCCCTGCTCACGAACTTGTCGAAGTCTTCAGTGTCGTGTGCTAGTAGGCCATGCAGCAACAAGCTCGGCCTGTCACCAAATCGCGGAATATTCGTGTCACGATAGTGGGGTATGCCAGCCTTGCCCTCCAGAAAGCAATCCAAACTTGCGATGTCGCTCGAAGTTAGCTCAGGTAAAACAAAAGACGGACCTGGAAACAAATCGCTAGTTACATGAACGAAAAGACACAAGGGCTGTCTGCAGTGAGAAGCGAGGGGATTTTAAGCAGAGGAAACGCAAGAAACATCTGGCTTAAACGACAACAGAAAAGCAGCAGAAGATCTACATGCTGCAAGGGAACAAACAAGGGGGCCCAGAGAGAAACTCTTAGTAGAACGCAAGATTAATGATACCATACCAAACAGATTGCCGTGAATAACCAGCCACAAGCAAGACCAAATCCAACAGTGACGAAATCATGGCTGACATCTGCCACTTTCATGGCGCACTAGGACTGGACCACTAGAACGGAAAGCAGCCATAGCCACACATATCCACAACACAGCAAAACGCCCCAAATCACTTACCATTACTTCTGAGGAGGACGAGTTTTTCCTCCGACAGCCGCTCTTCCTTCTTCTGCAGCCGCTCTTTCTCCTTCAGCCAATATTCCGCCAGAGATTGATTGCCACTCTGAAGGGCAGAGAGAAAAGATTTCCCAGCCGCTTGGATCTGTGGCTCAAGAAGCTCGATTCGTGCCTGCACCTTCTCCATTTTGCTAAGTGAAACCCTATCGTGAAACGCATGGAGAACTAAAATAGGACATGGGATAAAGGCAGTTTTCTCTTTTAAAGTTTTGTACGAACTTATGTTTGTGCTAGTGCAAATGCTGGGCGGTTAGGAAGGGTAACTGATCTCAAGCACCCAATTGTGGATCCAAGCAAACCATATATGGTGGTTGTGGATGCAAATGACTATGTTGTGGCTAAAAAAACTCACTTTAATTTATAATTCCTAACACTTCCTTTTTCATATGTAGAGTATCACTGCTCTATTGGGTTAAATATCTTGCTCTCATATGCAATAGGATGATCATCTTGCATGAGAACACCACCCACAACATAATCATTTGCATTAGGGCTTAGGGTTTAGGCGCATTTAGGTGTTTAGGGTCAAAGACACCCCACGGTGCTGTTATCTGGCGAGATCATTGAATGTGTTTGTACATTCCCCATGTCCCAATGGGACTAATACAAAAACTGGGCATACCGCCCTCTCAATAAGTGTATATATGGTTGTATTTTCACACTTGTGGTTGCTTTTGTGAGTACTGACGTATTTCTGAGCTAGAAAAAGGTGAAAAATGAAGAAGCTCGCTGAAGAAGCTTCCTAGGAATATTCTAACTAGAGAGAGAAAAAGTGACAGATTTCAGAAGTGAGAATTTGAAGAAGTTGTTTTCTATGAAGTTGAAGATCTTATCAAGGGAAGTTACATGGTGGTAAAATCAAGTCGATCGAAGTTGTGGATGAAGAGTTATTAGTTGGAAAAGTCTCAGCCATTGGTTGGTGTTTAAGTTTTTGGTAGTTTGAAAATTAAGTACGGCCATTCAGTTATTTTATAGTTCTTATTTTCTATCTCATATTCTTGAGTTCTTTCTGCTTGAAGATGGTAGACCTCCTATAGGCCGTCGAGATCCCATCACCGTGATCATAGAAGAGTTATTGCAGGCCCACAGTACGAGTGATCTGTAGTTACTGCTGAAATACAAGCCCTAGGGGAGTCTTTCCAGTCTTCCTTTGTTGTCATGTATTTTTCTTGACATTTTTTGGTGTGTTAGCTGGGAGGGCTTAGTCACAGTAACTGTGCAGTAAACCAGGCCTGAGGAAAAGGCTGGTCATCTGCGGGCATCTGCAGTAAGCATCCTTTGCCGCAGTTGGTTCTTGGTCTGGCGGGTAGATCCCCGGACTGGGATAATTTTCTAGATTTTTCTACTAGGAGGGTAGAGCAGAATCGAGGCCGTTCTGAACAAGCAGCGAGGAGACTGTTATAGAACTCGCTTGAAACCAGTCCTAAAACTAGTCCAAGGACTTTGGACTCAAGTTTGAGTTGGGAGAAGTGGGGGCCATTTGAACCAGCCTCGCCCACACCTCAAGCAGTAAATCCTCAAATGGCACAGCCTGCCAACGCGAGGATGAAGTATCCAACGTTTACACAGACTAACAATCTAGACGCTCACGTAACTGCTTTTGAAAATGTCAGCACAGCAAATCAGGAGCAGACAGATGCTGTGAGAGTCTGTTTGTTTCCGGCGACGTTGCTGGGAGCAGCAGCAGAGTGGTATGGTCAGGCGAATGCAGCAGCAGCCTTTGCAGCCTGGGCAGACCTCAAAACAGCATTTCTCAATGCTTTCTGTCCTATGGGATTCAAGTAGCGTATCAGCGACGAGCTAAATTCAATTCAATTGTTACTTGGAGAGACATTGCAAAATTACGTTCTTCACTACAAGAGGCTGCTCGCGAGGAAAGATCCACAGCCTACTGCTGACGACCAAGTTTGCTGGTTCTTGAATGGGTTGCCATTTGAGATCGGGTTCCACGTGAAGGTGCAGAGACCAGCAGATTTGAACGCAGTAGTGGTGCACGCAGCAACATGGGAATAGGCCTGGATGTCGTCGCAGAATGTTGCAGCTGCAGCTCCAGCAGCAACATATGGTAACCGGTTTAGGGTTTTTAGGGTTTACCGGTTTTTAGGGTTTTGGGTTTTGGGTTTTGTGGAATTGCGATTAGCCAAAAGCACTCCACATTGCTTGATCCAGTGGAACTCAAGAATGCTAGAGATCGGCTATGGCAATTTGAGATAAGAGGAAAAACTAGAGAAAATTTATAATGAAAAATTCACTAAAGAGAAAGGAAATACATTGGCATGACAACCCGAGACCGGTTTCGTCCTTTTTGGGACTCATCAGCTGGGTGTAGTCCCTCTTTTTCCTCTATTTATACCCAGATGCCTTAAGAATATTCAAGAAGCTTTGAAAATATCCAACTGTTTTAGAATTTCAAAGATCTTGTGGTGAGCAGGCAAGCTTGGAGGAACAGCCTCACAGACTTGGTTGTCACTAGCCACTTATCTTATATATTATGATAGTGGTATTGATTGCTATTATTATGAGTTTATTTTCTACAAATTTTGGTTTGTAGAAAATAAAATATGAGTTTTAATGACATCTTTGTGCAAGGCACAAGATGTGATAGTCCCTTGAAATTTCAGAAAAATTTCAGAGAATAGGTGGTGGTGATTTTAATTAGCTCAGTATATTTCCCTCAAATTTGGTTTGTAGAGAATAGATGTGAGCTTCAATGACATCACTGTGCAAGGCACAAGATATAATAATCAATTGAAATTTCAAAAAAGTTGAAAATTTCAAAGACTGAAATAGGAAATAAACAAGCTTAGTGGTGTGAAGCTTATTCATAGCAGTATATTGTGGACGGTGATGGTGATGGATATCAGCCATGCAGCACGTCCTAATTGTTCCTTATCATGTTTAATAGCCAACCTCAAAAGTTATTTCCAAGCATCAGAATATTCCAGGAATATTCCACTCCGACTTTGCAAGAGGTAGCTTATTCATAGCAGTATATTGTGAATGGTGATGGTGATGGATATCAGCCATGCAGCACGTCCTAATTGTTCCTCATCATGCTTAATAGCTAACCTCAAAAAATATTTCAAAGCATCAGAATATTCCAGGAATATTCCACTCCGAGTTTGCAAGAGGCAGCTTTGGACAAGTCCAAGGTAGCTTATCCATATGGTGGGAGTCTTGCTGAAACCAAGTGGGAGGCAAGGTTTGGGGACTGTGTCCAGCATGTGATCACTCTGGGGAGTGAGTTTGATAGAACTTCAGAATCACCTGTTTAGGGTGTTCCCCACATCAAGTGCCTGTAAGGAACCAACTCGCCAAAGTGTCGTAGGCTAAAGGAACCCTGAAAGCATGACCAAATTGACAAAGAATTCATCGGATGGGACCAAGTCGAAGATCGAGTCCAAGATCGACTCGGAGACCGAGTTCGAGATAGAGTCCGAAATTGAGTTCAAGGCTGACTCGGGGACCAAGTTCGAGACCGAGTTCGAGACCGAGTTCGAGATCCGAAATCGGGTCCAAGACCGAGTCCAAGGTCGAGTTCGAGGTCGGGTCTGAGATCGGGTCCGAGATCGAGTCCGAGATCGAGTCCGAGACCGAATCCGGTTTTTTGCGAAGGACCAATGGCCACTTAGGACATGATGAAGGGTTTAGGGTTTAGGGTTTAGGGTTTAGGGTTTAGGGTTTAGGGTTTAGGGTTTAGGGTTTAGGGTTTAGGGTTTAGGGTTTAGGGTTTAGGGTTTAGGGTTTAGGGTTTTAGGGTTTAGGGTTTAGGGTTTAGGGTTTAGGGTTTAGGGTTTAGGGTTTAGGGTTTAGGGTTTAGGGTTTAGGGTTTAGGGTTTAGGGTTTAGGGTTTAGGCGCGTTTAGGGTTTAGGGTTTAGGGTTTAGGGTTTAGGGTTTAGGGTTTAGGGTTTTAGGGTTTAGGGTTTAGGGTTTAGGGTTTAGGGTTTAGGGTTTTAGGGTTTAGGGTTTAGGGTTTAGGTTTAGGGTTTAGGTTTAGGGTTTAGGGTTTAGGGTTTAGGGTTTAGGGTTTAGGTTTAGGGTTTAGGGTTTAGGGTTTAGGGTTTAGGGTTTAGGGTT